TGAACATGGGGTGGGTCGGTAGGGCCATTACCAGCAGATCAGAAATGTGCAGCTCTATAGCCGACACACCTGCAGAAGGGGACAGAGAGGGCATGTATTGATTATGTTTCTTTCAATTGGCATAGACCATAGAACAGTCAAACATGGAACCATTATAGTAAAAGCAGGCATGTGTGAAACCAATAGCAATATTAAACATCCTAAATTGCAGCTTTTTTGATTTACTGATTGCTTTGTTTCAAATCATTGAATTTGTTTGTGACTACAGGTTTCATGGTTTGATTTGTTGTTTGACGTCATTTCCCGTTTGTCACATTTAAATCCAATTTTATTGAGAGAAAGTACCACCTTAAAAGAACAGTAACTGCAGTAAGTGGGCACTTGATGTCCACAGGTTGTAAATAAACACAGTCATAAAACCACTGACACGTCATTTTTTCAGTTGATAAAGTGAACTTATTAGCAAACACCTGCTCATTTTTACACCCGGCAACATTCTCCTTCATTTAGAGTTGTGTTTCTGGCCACGTGGGAAATGTAAATCCATATTTCAAGCTCTTAGTTCTATAAAAACACCCCTGAGGGAAACATCTGGCTCCTTAACTGCTGAGAGCTGCGCTATGTTCACTAAATAGTCTCCTATTGTGTCTGTATGTTGCTGAGCAGGTACCGTATTGTGTGTTGTTTTTTGTTTTTTCTGAGCTGGAAACTGCTGCCAGCTCTCGCCCCAAAACAATACTATAAGAGCAGTGGGATAGTGAATTTATGGACCAGACACCCAATCAGTCATTCTCTACTGCCATCGCTACTGTCAAATAAAAATACCAAAAACCCGGCTGTAATATAAAATATTGCGAGCACAATAACGGTGTAAATAATTTGTATGGCTCCTGTTGACCTACACACACACTCTGACGGGGATGCTGTGACTCACATCTTGTCTTTGTGTGTGTGTGTGTGTGTGTTTTAGTGATGCGCTCTCTACTGGCTGTAATTGGCTGCAGACAGACTCTGCTGTTCTCTGGCTTGTTATCAGACTGACAGACAAACAGGAAAGGACAGGAGTATTACTAGGAAACACTGCAGACCTCAGAGGCAGGAAAACATACATACACACAGAAACGCACGTAAACACCACAAGCAGCCGTCACACACAGTCGCTCAGACACATTGCAGGTGCAGTGATGCTAACAGGCTGCGACAGGGAGGAGAGTGTACCTAATGTATTGCCCTTAGATGACAATCAAATTGGAGATGGGTAGGTAGATAAAATGAGATAATGGATGCACACAGTCAGCTTAATGCAACAAATAGAAAAGGATCAGACAAGCCTGTTACGTGGACAAAAGGTCACGACAATGACAGCAACACGCTCGAGTGAACACGAGGATGTGTTTGGTAATGTTGCAGCTTAACTATGTCCACAACTGTTATGTGTGAAGAAGAGCCGAATGCTTTTTGCTCAAACACTAAAGCAGTAATGAAAGTCTGACATCGGGGATTTTAGAAATCTAATGACCTGTTCCCGTCTTCAGCTTCTCGATGCGTCTCTAAGGTTGTCTGTGAAGATTCTCAGTCATCCAGGTCATGGTTGTTCTGGTAGATTAATCGTAGCAACTGCTTGAGTTCCTTGAAGACGTTTCATCCAAGAGGCTTCATCAGTTCTGACTGACTAGTTGGGAGTTCCTGATACTTATATCCTTAAGGAGCCATTAACACCTGAGTTTCGGTTTCATTTGGAGGTAGCTACTCCTCCCCCTCGTTATGTGAGTCGTTAGTGCTCCCCCTGCCACAAAGGGGTTCGTTAGGGTCTTTTGTGGCTACGTGTGGATGTGGTTTCATCTTCCTGGGGAGAGATCTTAGGACTGATTTGTAAACAGGTGAGAGGTGATGCCTCAGACCTCCACCTCTGCTGAGGGATGGTCTTTCCAGTTTGACATAGATGGTTTCTTTCACTCCTCTCTCAAACCATCTGTCCTCCAAAATCTGTACGTTGTTGTCTTCGAATGAGTGTCCTTTGTCCTTAAGATGCACCACTTTCTGTTGGTGGGTTTTTCGTTTTTCGTTCTCTGGAATGGAGAGTTTTTAGATTGCAGTGAATCCGTCTTTGGATCATTTTGTTTTCTTTAATGCTTTAATTTCTATGTAGAAGCCTAGTTAATCCATGCAGCTTTAACACATCTTTTCTTTCCCCCCATCCTTCTGTCTAGACGTGAGACCTTGTTGAGGTGTTCCCAGTGCAAGATGGCTCGCTACTGCAATACCACTTGCCAGGTACAGAGTGTGTGTGTGTGTATTTTTGTTCCTCATGTTGTGGAGACATAAATCTGCCGGTCCAGACATGCTGCGGGGACCTGCTGCTCTTTTGGGGACCAAAAGTTCAGACTCCCACACACTGTCTAACTGGCAGAAATTCATATATTTGTGATGCTGTCAGTGCTAGTTGGGCAAACCAACAAATGCCTGATGAAGGTATAACACTGAAACATCACAAATATATGTAATTTTGCAAGCAAAGGGGTGTACAGGAGTCTGTTTGACTGTTTTAATCTGTGCATTGCTTACTACACTCCTGTCTCATGAAACTGATGTGCAAAGAGGTCCTTTCCTACGATGTAAATCATTAAAATTTCAAAAGAAAGACTTGGTTTAAGGTTAGTCATGACAAGTATAATTCGTAGTTATGGTTGGGTTTGGATAAATGTAACATGATGTCATGTCCTCTGAAGTGATTAAGTGATGGAAACATGCCGTGTGAATGTGTTTTTCTGCAGAAACAAGCTTGGTCCGTCCATAAGAGAGAGTGTAAATGTCTGCGCAGCCTCCTACCAAGATTTCCCACTGACTCAGTCCGTCTAGCTGCAAGACTCATCTTTGCTCTGGTAGGTTTCTGGACTTTCTCACTGTTCTGCTCTCTCAAAATAAACTGTCTCAAAGGAAAGATGCAAAACAATGTCTATTTATACCTTTCCTTTTGTTAGCTATATTGGTCTGACATTCAGCTTGTGTTTATTAAACCTTAAGAAACGCTTTTGATGACGTAGATTAAGAAAATCAAATGTCAATCAATGTTTTTCTCCATGCATAAAAAATTCACACACACACAACTTGCAACGATAGCAGAAAAACATTGATGTAAAACGTGATTGCCACGCTAATGCCTCCCCTCTTCCTCTTCCATTTTAGTTAAATCCATCTGGAAGCAGCAGTGAGGAGCTCTTCACTTTAGATGAGCATGAGTCACGTAAGTCTCTCCTGCACAAGTATGTGTGTGATTTGCCCGAGTGTCGTACCAGAGCAGTGAAAAATGGACGATGACCTCACTTTTTATTGAAAAGAACAGCTCAACTTCATAAATATTCCTGTAAAAGTTCCAGAGTTACGCAAAGGCTAATTCTCTATTTTCAACTATGGTCAGTCTCTTGCCAAATGTTGTTGCTGCTGTTACACAATAAGGCTTCACAATGAAACATAAGTAGCATTAACAAATTCTGCTTTAAACATATTATTTAAAGTCCGGCATAAGCAACAACACATAAGCATGAATGAAAGACATAATATTAAATATACAAATAATGTAAAACGCGTCTGCATGGTAGATCAAGTTTCCTAATGATCGCAGGATTAATTCTTATTATTATGTCTTTTAAACTGAGATGATTACGTGCTCATTGTTCTGATAGCAGTGGGAAAATTGTTCCTCTGTTGTGAGCTTTTACAGAAATCACAAATTGACCATTTTGATGGAATAATGCAGTCCCCCTCTTGTGACACTTCTTGTGATTGAAGGGCCACGCTGTGCAAAATATTATAGATAAGACTCACATTTGAGTCGTCCATTAGATTTTTGAAGCAGAGTAATGTTTCTTTAAAAAAAAAAATCTGCATCAAGAATTCTTTGATCAGTGATTTTTAAAGCTCTTTTATAGAGAGACTGTGGTGGGTTTAAAGTATTTGGAATAGCTTTGATCAAACATTTCCATTTTTACTTGATGTTGTGGAAAAAGGTGATGATGTTTATCTGTCAGATCCCAGTGTGTGGTGATGTACTGGACTGTATTGGATTTAGAAGTGTGACTTATATTTTTGCCCCTCCCCCGAATACACCATTTGCATTTAATGCTGCTTTTGGAGAGCACCGTATGCTTTTTGATTTGAGAGATTTCACTCAAGGTACTTAAAGTATACTAAAAATTCTACTCTTTCTCCAGAGACATAAAACTCCCATTCTACAGTAGCATGCATGTAGCTTGCTTTGGACACATTTAGAGCCTTTGTTTAGCCACAGAGAGAGATGATTTTTCTTTTTTTTTTTACAGACCTGACTTCTATGCCTGAGCAGAAGAAACAAGGCCTGTCTCAGCTGGCATCCATGTTAGAGCTGTACCTACAAGAGGAAGTGCCCAACTTGACACAGGAATCAGAAGTGCCACCTTCCTGCCGAGAAGCCCTCAGCCTTATTGCAAAGGTTAGTTAAATACATGTAAAGAGAATATTTACTTTTGTACATATGGTGCCCTTTCAAAGCACACGACTACACAAACACAAATACAAACATAGCTACCTTTACAAAAAAAAAAGAAAAAAAAAAAGACACAAATACACAAGCACCGTCCCCTGCTGCACTTGGCTGTACCCCAGTATGTGTCTAAGATCTTCCCAGAATCTGTAATCACATCCCTGTGTTTGTGTATTCCCAGAACAACTTCAGGTCTGATTCTCTTAAAACACACCAGCTGCCTTCACTGGAATCTAAACCGCAAATTATGTGTGCAAGGATGTGCCCGTCTGCGTGTTGCTCTGCCTCTGTTATCTGTTAGCTTGTGTGAGTCTTCCTTGTGATTTCAAGGTGTTTGAATTCCAAGAAGCGTGTGGGTGTGATGCGCTTTTCTCATCCTAACGATTGCGTGAGTAATAATGAAGTAAGTTTGTTGTCATGAAAACTGCTAATGAGCAATGCTCTCCCAAAAGCTACACGACATGGACACTCTGCTCTTTTAACAATCAGCTGTTTACTTATTTTATCAAAATTTTCAATGTTTTATGGTTTAAAACGAAAGTCACAGTCATATAGAACAAATATGTGCATCTCATGGAAACATTTCTTTCATCATATTTGAACAAGCAAACTCTTAATCCTCCTTGAAACACTGCAATAAAGGTTCTATACTCAAACAGATGACATGTAGAATTGACAGTGCACCGCTATCTTCACCATTTTAAGCTCCAGGTTGTTGTGCCAGCACCACACTGCCAGCTGTTCCACCTCCTGTCTGCACACTCATCACCGTCTCTGAAAAAGGCCGATGACTGTTGTGCTGTCTGCAAATTTTTAAAGGAGTTTATCTGACGAGTCTCCTGAGGTGCCGTCATTGGTTTAGAGGGGGTAGAGCAGTGAGGAGAGCTTGCAGCCCTGGGGGGGTGGAGCGCTGACGTTCCTTGTGCTGTATGTGATTTTTCTCCAGCTCCACCTGCTGCTTCCTGTCTGTCAGAAAGTTTGTGATCCACAGAGAGATGGAGGGTTATGGAAGATATGAATCCCACTGAAACACTGCGAGGGGGATTTGAACTCTGTAGCACATGCAAGAAAACCCTCAAACATCTTGCACCTGAAAGATTTTTTGCCCGAAAGAGCGGTCAAACATTTCAGCGAGCTGATATCAGAGACTTATGCAAAGCACCTATCAGAAGTCATTTCTGCTAAGCAGAGCAATTCTAGCCTCTCGGGCATGACTTACTTTTTCTACAGAAGAATTTTACTTCTACTGATATATTTATTGAATAAATTATTTTGAAACGCTGATTGAAGTACACCACTCTTATCTGTCGGCATCGTATCAAAGAGGATCAGCTGTTAGTTTGGTCAAATCGGCGAAAAGAGGCAACAGTTTCCAGCATATTAGGGTTTTTTTCCCACATGTATCAAGGCTGTATGTAGTTGTTAACTGGAAGTTAATGCTAATGAGAATATTTAATTTTCAAAATGCATTCATTAAACGTGTGGCAGTGGCTAGCACTGGCGCCTCACAGGGCCCACAGGGCCTGGGTTTGATTCCCAGCCTGGAGTCTTGTGTCTGTAGAGTTTGCATGTTCTGGCTTCCCTCCACAGTCCAAAGATGTGCTGATGTTAATTGGTGATTCTAAATTGTCCGTAGGTGTGAATGGGAGTGTGCTTGGTTGTCTGTCTCACTGTGCTGCCCTATGATAGACTGGTGACCTCTCCAGGGTGTCCCCTGCCTTCACCCTAAGTCGGCTGGGATAGACTCCAGCCCCCCTGTGACCCTAGTGAGGATTAAGCGATGTATAGATAATGGATGGATGGATGATTGTCTGATGTTTTGGACACATTTCGTGCTGTGAACCTTGGCGCATCTTCAGTGATGTTCTTGGCATAATAGGGGGTTTTGGGCCCCGATTTGTGGAAACAAATCTGTCTCCCTAAACAGCTCTCCTCCAAATCCACAGCTTCTTCAGCAGCTCTTTCTGTGGTCCTTCACTTTCCAACCCCACAGACACCAAATATGGTAAACGTCTTGCAGAGGGACTGGCCAGCGAACCCTCTGCAGTCCTCTAAATAGACTATTACCTTGCTGCCACCCACTCTTCCTGCACTCCCTCTTTAGCCCAGCATGTTTTGCTCTCTTCCTTTTGTTGGCATCTTACATTTGACCCCTTCATGGAACAAAAAGCCCCATTAGCACAACCTACTTGAACAATCAGGAGAGCATGTTGATTGCCTGGCCTCAGTGATGTTTCTGAGGTCTCCTCTGGGAACTTACGCTGTCCATCTAGATCAATTTCAGGCTCCCCATTGAGCCCATTAACAGCACACCAGAATGGAGAGAACTGAGGGCCTTTTGTTACTGTTGGTAGCTTCTTCCCACATCCGATGAAGGTGACGGCTTTTGCAGGTGTTGGACAGAAGTGTTGATTCTGTAAGATGGCAGGGCAAGTAGTGTCCGCTAGAACCCTCAGTACATGATTGTCCTGCCACTGGTATCTACCTTAACTTGGAGTCAGTTTGCTCAAGATATGCTCAATGTTACTTTGGTCTGTACACAGCTGACATGTTGGCGACTCTACCATCACACAGAAGAGCACGTTAGAAGGATTTGGCACTACATCATAGACATCATAGATTAGGAACTTAAGGCGATGAAGCGCAACCTTCCAGAGCTTGCTTTTGCTTCCTCCCATCTCTTCCAGGCTCCCTGTTGTCTCATGGTGATTGCCCTGCTGCCTCATTTCTCCTCAGTTTGTGCTTGAACCTCCCTCTACACTAGGAGCCTCCTCTCCTTTCACTGTGTCCGGTCATTGCAAGAAGTTATGTTGCTACCTAGGTCAGTCCTCACTTGTTCTACCACACTCACCAGATCTCAGAGCCTTTAGCCGAGCCTTTGCCAGCTCTACAGATTCTGCTGCCTCCACCTTTGCCATGTTCTGACATCAACAGGAGTCATGGGAGACCTTTGGGTCATTGGAGTCTCTGTACTGCTGGAGCTCCGTTGCACAGCTCACTTCAAATTCCTCACCCACGCGACCGATGTGGAGGGTGTTGCTTCAGCTGTACAGAGCAGTGCTAGGCCTGTTTACTCAGCCCCAGCCAGTTGTGCAGATAGCCACAGCTTCTTTTGAAGGCCTCTGTAATGGATATTGGCACTCCAGAAACCAGGAGGGGCCAGAAAATGTGGAGCAGGAGCCCATGCTGCTGGATGGATGGAGTCTTTGAAGGTGCTATCGAAGGTCTTCCACAGGTACTTCAAACATTTCTGTGTAATGTAAGGTATCTCCTCACCAAGAGAAAAACAGTTTCTCAGCAAGCTCCCCCATCCTAGGCACTATAGATCTGGATCTGGCAGTCTTAAAACCCATCTAGGCCCCGCTAACAATTTCCTCTGGGGCTGATGTTGTTGTCACAGTCAAGTCATGCGTTAAGGCTCTAATGGAAAGTTGTTGTATGCCTGACTTGACGACTTACTCCTGAGCTCTGTATAAGGTCTCTTCTCGTCCTCGGTTGCGTTGCTGAAACTGCTGCCTCAAGCATGTCAGTCCCTGCCTGAGTTGGTGGATCCTTGTAGCCATGTTGTTCTTGTAGTAGCAGGTTTTGGTGTCACCTTCTCTTCCAAGCCAAATGATGATTATGGTGGTCACGGTGGGGAGCACAAATATCGAAATAGGCAAATGTTAAGGTCCATTATAATGCTCCCTTAGATGGAAGGCCCTGGACCTCCACTGCACCTTCAGATAAGAACAATTTGAGTCGCTGACAATCTCCAGAGAGTTTCCTGCTCTGAAGACGAGATGCAAGTGGTCAGTGAGCATTAACAGGGCTGTAGGAAAGCTGTGCTCAACTTGTGTCATCCCCACACCTCTGTCACAGTGTGGTGCAGGACCCCAGCTGGTCTCATTCCATCTTCGTTGTTGGCTACGCTGTCTGTATTTATTCTGTGATTTGGAGGTCAACATACAGTCAAAACCAGGAAAAATGTGGTTGTCAAGTGACAAGTGTCATTAAATGTGTGTATTAAATATATACCTGTGACTCACACAAGTTAATTTGTTTTAAATTATGTACGACCAATAATATAAAGATCAGTTTGAGTATAACTTTTTTTTGTTTGTTTTATTTTTTGGTATTCACTCACTTTTGCTTTAACATCACCTTGTTGAACACAGTTCTGTTGTTTTTGTTACAGATAAGGTAGTCCAGTACAGTTCTTGAATTAGGCTCCACAGGAGGCACATTTAGTTCTTCACTTCATTCATGACACCATTGTCCTCTAAGATGGGCCCTGTTTTGATGGGTTCAGAGACAGAGGGAAGCTGAGAGACAATATTTCCAGTATATATTTCTCAGTATTAGTCTGGTTTTACTGGCAAACCTCGATTTGTTCCCACAGTGGGACTGAAATCACTGAGCATGAAGTCTTGAACAGGTTAGAAGCATCTTATTCCGATATGACTGGAGACCACTGTAAAGGTTGTTTGCACAGTAATGTGCAAGGTGGAGAATACAGAGTAGACCCCACAAATGGTAAAGATGATCCACATATGATAACTTCAACTTGAACCCCAACAAGAGAAACTGACTTCTCATTGTCTGTTGCAATAACCAACTTTTTTAAAAACATACCAATAGTAGTTGGACTACGTTTGATAGTCTAACTGTTGAGTCTTGTAAGATGTGGCTTAGCTGTATAAAGCTTTCAGTGCAGTTAAGAAATGGCTTAATATCATAGTGTTAGCCATGCTATCATGTATCTTCCATACAGAATGAATGCCTGACGTGATGTGATATTATGGGCTGCCATCATATAGTCTTATATCACGGTTTGAATCATTGCATCAGTCCACAGCTCTGGGAGTAGCTGAGCTAATAATCAGTCACTACATTGAAAGAATGTGTTGTGTAGCTGATGAGACATCTTGATGAGGATTTATAAATCCGGCCTTATCATTTTCTGGTGC